GGGGGTAGAGAAGGGGATTTGGCAGGTGAAACATCTCTGGAACCAGGGCAGAGCTAGATGGAAAACATATCCAGAATTGCGGGGGGAGGTAACCGCAATCTTCAGGAAAACTGCTAGAGACTGAGTACAGCGCACTGATTGGACTGCACCGGATCAGAGCAAACCTGCTGGAGGCAGGTCAGATAGGAGAAAAATTCCTTGGCCAGGTCCTTAGCCGGGGAAGGTAGCCACTATTGGGGGAAAGGGAGCTGCACTTCTGGTGCCCGCAGACCCCAGCCGCCCCTCAACGGGCACTGCAACACGTGCTGACTGGAGAAACCGAAGCCCCAGAAGGCTGGCTGGCCCAAGACCCCACCTTGTTGACTGCGACTGGAGAGCCCTGGCCCTGGCTGTTTGGCTGGACACCGAACGACTGCACTGCACTCGGCCTTCTCTCGCCCTGGGGTATCCCAGGAGCGCCGGCAGTGTGCCGGACAAGAAACAAGAGTGCGGAAGGGCCGGTATCAGGAGAGAACGCAAGGTGCAAGAGCCGAGCGGATGGGAGTCCCAAGGAGTAGGGTTCAGTCAGAGACCTACAGGAGCCACTTGCCTTGTAAAGGGATCTGGGGAGCTACATGCAGTCAGGGGTCCAGAGAGTGGAGTCTGATCTAAAGAGAAAGGTTTGGTAGGGGATCCGGAGAGTGAGGGGGCAAGGCACTGACGGAGAGAGTGGGAAATTCAGCTGATAGGGAGCAAGGTTCAGTCGGTTGGGGGCAGGCACCGGAACGGAAAGTAGGAATCGGCTGTTAGAGAGCAAGGTTCAGTCCGGAACCCGGAGAGTGGGGGCTTAGCCACTAAAGCCAAGACACCAGGACAGAGAGCGGAGACTTGGCTGCTAGGGGTAGGACACCAGAACAGACACCAGCCGAAGCCAGGTAACGGCCCCGGTATTCCATATGTATAAGGGACGCTGAACCCGGTTTCCAGCAGGTGCAGCTCCCCACCAAAAGACCAGGGCAACCACGACCAGACTTGCTAGCGAGGGCTGCTCATACCACCCCCGCTAGCAGGAGGCACCTGGAGTTTTCTTTATTGAAAAAAAAAAAGTTCTAGTTTTGCCCCTGGCTGAACTACTGGTTCCTGTGTGTCCCTTAACTACCTTGTCCCTGTCTGAGGCGCTAACAGACAACACCGCCAGCAGACTTAGCACACGGACCCGGACTACGACCCGGAACTCTGAGTCGGTAGGCAAGCAGACAGCTACATTCATCATCAGCTGATCACACACATACATAGAAAACACAGCAACAGACTGAGAATCGGACTTCTCAGAAATCAGATCAATAACCTCCACGATGTTGGAGTAATCAATGGTGGTCAGGGTTCCTTCGGCCAGACGGAAGGAAGCGTGAGAGTGTTTTTCATGATGTAATATTTTATTCCGATTTGCCAGCGGAATAGGAACCGGACTGACACTCCCCAGAATGGAAAAGGAGCCAGGGCCGTAAGGACCTGTTTGATGTGAAAGGAAAAATAAAAATAAAAAAGAGGATAGTCACGATAGTGTGTTTCTTTTTGTTTTTCTTTCTTTGATAAAGAAATAGCATGATTTTATTATATGAGCAAAAGGAGGCTGGGAATCCCTCCACATCTCAACCGGGGATGCGGGGGCCAATACCCTGCTTAGGCTCGTATTGGAAAACGGGTCCTGTGTCCCAACATGCTATTCCAGAACAAACCATCGAAATGGGACTAACAAAACAACAATATGCCGACAGCGGATTCTTAGACGCTAAACCCTACTATCCCCTTATTCTTCCTGGACAACCCTCCCCTTACTAACCCCTACTCCGCTTTGTAAACCATACCTCCTGTTATGTCCTGTCCTTTCTTCTTCTTCTTTTTTTTCTTGAAATTTAAATTGATTTTCTTCTTTTTCTAATTGGCTTGTGCTGGAAACCGGGTACAGTGTCCCGATACCTGCAGCGTCAACGAAAATACAAACCAGACGAATAAAGTACAAACATAAGTAAAGGGAGAAAATGATGCCATGGTCGCCCCCGAAAGCATACCCAGACTAATGTTTACCCTTAACCCCCTGCAATCTCCCCTGGGCCCTAGGCATCTTTAACCTTATAGACCCTAAACCCTGCCTCCTGCTGTGTCTTATCCTTTCACCTTCTTACAGTCAACCTGAGGTTCGGATGAGGAAGTAGCCGACCGTGATGCCTGACTGAAACATCAGCCATCCACAACCCCCAGCCCCTCCCCTTTAACCACCTCCCCCCCCCCCCCCCCCCCCCCCCCCCCCCCCCCCCCCCCCCCCCCCCCTCCCTTCCTCCCGCTTCCTCATATGGTCCTAACTGTTGGAGAGCGGTAAGATTACTCATTGCCGCTCTATTATGGTGGCGAGCTTCCCAGACCCTAGGCCCTAGGGTCGTGCGTTCAAAGCGATTCTGGATATTCTTGGCTTCCTCTGGGTTTTGCTGCATGTTCTGTCTTACTCTCCTCCATTGGGCTCTTAATTCGGTTTCCAGCCGACTCCTGAAGCACTCCCTCGCTGTGATCTGGCACCTTCTTTTCCATATGCTCCATAGGGCATAGTAGTCATACTGATGCAGCAGAACGAAGGATTTCTTCTCGAAGGCTGAACATCCAGGCAACAGCCCCTCCGCTGTGAAGAGTACAGTCAACCGCCAGTCCCTCTCACCATTCCCTGGCTATCCGCCAGATTCTCTTCGCGTCCTTGCATGCTATTAGGCAGTGCTCTATGGTCCCCCTGGCTCCTTCCTTACACACCACGCATAATTCATTCGGAGGTACTCTTGTGTTCATGACTTCTGCGCACGTTTAACCACACGTTGACTGGCCGGGCTACGTAATAGATCAGCCGCTGCATGCTTCTTACCCGTGACGTTCCCAGCCGGATGCCATGAGCGAGGACCATTGAACAGTCGGCATCTGTTCAGCCGGTACTCCGACCTCGTCCTCCCAACACATGGTTAATGTCGCCTTCCGAGGGTAGGGTCTCAGCCTGAGCTTGGAAACCCAGCCTGGTCGTATAGTGAAGCGTATGTTGACCCTGTGAGATGCGTCAAGTCTACCTTCTCTCAGGTTCCACTCCACACCCACCCCCCCAGATCTATCTCTAGGTCCTCTATCTGAGTGGTAGGGCAGAAGATTGTGAAGTCTTCTTTTCCACGGTATTCCACCACCCTTATTTTCCGAACTATACCCCAGATTGAGTTGTTACCGGGGGTTTTGAGTCTTTGCTCAAGAGGCTTGCTGTGGATCCTGGCTGTTCAACGGTGGACATGTCCATCGTACTAAGCCAGTCCTGCTGCGGTCCCGCTCTCTGGTGTACCCGGAAGGCCACTGCTGGGGGGTCTACGCAATTCTGCGTAGCCCAGTCCCCGCAGTCCCATTGTGGCCCCTTCTCCAGCAGGTTTTTCCACTCTGGAGTCTGGTGGAATCGAGAATCAAATGCTGAAGACGAAGAAGCAAAGTCAGCGCAGCGCCGGACTCCTTCGCAAAGCCCATAACCACACATGCATAGTCGTTCACGAATAGCAACCAATGCTTTCAGAGATCAGGATAGGAAGAAAGATTACATGTCATAAGTACAGAACAGGTGCAGAGCAGTGGCCCTTTCTTCCTAAGAGGAAGTACAAAAAAAATTAGAAAAAATTCAAAAAATCAATGCCATTGTTTCATGATCTCCGGGCCATAGCGGGGAGAAGCGGGGAGTGAGTACTACTGATGTAAGGGATGCTGGACCCAGTTTCCAGCTTTTATAAGAAAAGAAAAAAAGGGAGGTCGCCCCCTTTTTAAAGACCATTACAAAAAGTACCCGAGCTGTGTTCTGTGGGTCTGGCCCCATGACTGCTATGTTCATGCCGGGAAAGGACGAACCTGGCTCTTTGTATGACCTTTTTTTTTTTTTTTTTTTTTGGGGTCCTGCCCCTGTATCTCTGCAGCTTCACCTTCCTGAAAGGACGAAAAAAGAATCTGAAGTTTGAAGGAGAGAGGGATGACAACCAGCTGTTTATTGTGGTGATTCTTGTTCATTTCCCCTCGGAAAAAAATACGCACCGTGATGATGTGGCTGCCCATCGATAGAAACACGCTTCCATGGACACTCCTGCAATCGGATGATGGCCTTGTCGACCTTCATTCGTTCATAGTAAGAATGTAAGCACCGTCAGTCGTCATGAAGCAATAGCGATCAAAATCCAATTGCGAAAAAAAATAAATTCCAACGACACTGTGTGACTGTGACACATTTACTGAGCTGCCGCTCACTCGACAACTGAGATCCTCCCTCACCAGGCGACGGCAATAGCAAAATTCAAATGGACAGCACTTGTTGGGCAGATAGGTGTTGGTTGAGCTGTCCAGCGACAGCAATATTCATCTTGAAGTTCTCCAGATGGTACAAGCGAAAACAGAATTAAACAACCGCACAACCAAGTTGAACCAACCCCAATCTGCCCGACAATTGCTGATGATCGATAACACATTCTATCGAGGGGATGCTCAAGTATCAGTCAGGTTCCTATTCCCCCGGCAAGTCAAAAAAGAACAACATTTACCCGCTCAAGCTCCTCTCCCACTTATGGCGTGGAGGCCCTGAAGACGGGATTCAATTTGATTACTTCCTTGTACAAGGATGTACCGATCTTCACCCCTGCCTAAGCTTGTTTGAGGCTGTTGCTGTAACTTGCAGACCTTCGAGCGAGCGAGCGAGCGAGCGAGCGAGCGAGAGAGAGAGAGAGAGAGAGAGAGAGAGAGAGAGAGAGAGAGAGAGAGAGAGAGAGAGAGAGAG